TTCTTACCCTGTTCCAATATTCTCTATAGCACTACCATCATATATATTATTGGTATATTCTCTGTATGTTAAGATCCTCAAAGATAGGTGATTTGTCTGTTGTCCACTGCTATGTCCTCTTTGTACAGAATAGTATTTGGCTCATAGTAGGTCCTCAGGAAATATTTGAAGAAAGAATTCTTCACACTGAAGCCAGAGTGATCTTTTGATAATATAAATTTCATCATGTCGCTCTCACTAAAAACTCTTCAACTGGTTTGCATTGATTAAAGAACAAAGATTAGAATCCTTACCAAAGCCTGTTAAGACTCTGAGTGGTGGACCCTTAACTTAGCTCTCTAGACTCATCTCACATTCTCACTCTCATTTCAGTCCTTGGGCCTCTGCTGGTTCCATTATGACGTCTATATATGCTCTTTCTTGCTTTTCTTCCACTTTTCTTTTCTTTTTTTTTGAGGTAGAGTCTTGCTCTGTCACCCTGGGTAGAGTGCAGTAGCGTCATCATAGTTCATTGAAACCTCAAACTCCACCACGTTCACCCCTTTTCTCCCACTTCTGCATCTAGGTTACTATGAGGCACTTTTAATTCTTGGCTTAAAGTATCTCTTCCTAGGAGAAACCATTTCTGATACCCCAGATTGAGTCCCACCTCTTTCATGCCCTCATGGCAGTATATACCTCTTAGTAATACCTGTTAGATTGTAAAGTTACTTTTGTGACATCTCCCTTATCAGACAGTAAGTTGCGTAAGAGAAAGAAATACAGCTCTCTTTTTGCTTCCCACTGGATCCCTAGCATTTGGAAAGTATCTGGCACATAGTAAGAGCTTAATATTTACTAAAACATATAATATATTGCTGGGCACAGTGGCTCATGTCTGTAATCCCAGTGCTTTGGGACACTGAGCAGGGAGGAGGATCACGTGAGGCCAAGAGTTTGAGACCCGCCTGGGTAACATAGTGAGACCTCATCTTTACCAAAAAAAAAAAAAAAGAAAGAAAAAAAAAAGGAAAAAAAGAAAAATTAGCCAGGCATGGTGGCTTGTGCCTATAGTCCCAGCTACTCAGGAGGCTGAGGCAGGAAAATTGCTTGAGCTGCAGTGAACAATGATCATGCCATTGCACTCCAGCCTGGGCAACATAGCGAGACCTGTCTCTACCAAGAATTTCCATAGTTTCTGTATGTGTATATATACATACACATACAGAAACTGTGGAATTCTAGCTCCTTAAGGCCAAAGATCCTGTTTTGTCCCTGTATTATGAATGCTTAACTGGGTGCCTGTACATAGCAGGTGAATAGTTTGCTAAATAAGTCATAATATGAAGGATGTTTTATTACTCATTAACGAGTATATAATGCAGAAGAGCCATCACTTGATTATCTGTGATTAGGTGTTCATACATAATTGATACCTACACAAAGTCCCAAATTATCCCCTCTCATCAACCTTTCCTCACCACTAAGACTGAAGAAAGCAATTTACATTTTGTTTTTTCCCTGTTTATTCTCTGGTGGAGTAAAGGGTGAGCTGCCCTGGCTAGAAGAATCCATGTAGAGCCAGAATTGGCCCTAAGTGAGATTTTACATCCTGCCCAAGAGACCATTAGCACTCTTCTTTGGATAGTTAGATGTTTAAAACTTTTTTTTCCCAGTTAAACAAGCAGCCTTGTATTCTTTATCCTTTTACTTTGATAACAATCTCTTTGAAAATATTTCAGTGGTCAGAGGATGTATTAAAATACACAAACACAGGTTGTATAAATTTACAGGTTTATTAGGGCAGGATGACATGGACCAGCATAAGCAGAAAAAGCAAAAACCTTACAAATTAATCACTTTCAATTGTGTTGACCCACAGAATTTTTTAATAAACTTGTAATTCGAAACAAGCATCATGGCAAGCTTATTAACTATTAACATTTGCTAATTTAGGAAAGGGAGAAGAGCCAAATCAAATGTAATACAAATAAGTTATTGCAAAATGATAACTTTTTGATACAGCGAAACATAAAAGGAAACTAAAAACCTAAAGAAGACAGCAAGATGTCAATTTCCTAGTTTTAATAATGTATTGTAAGTTTTCCTCACATAAGATGATACCAATGGGGGAAAATGGGTGACACACAGGATCTCTCTGTACAATATTTGCAACTTTTTCTGAGTCTGTAATTATTTCCAAATTAAAAAAAGAAAGAAAGAAAGAAAAGATGACAGCAAGAAAAAGCAGTAAATTTAGATAAGGAATTTTTAGAAAGAGAACTTAAAACAAATATGCATTGTCAAAGACAGTTACATTGCCAAGTTTCCATAAGTTTGTAGGGAGTTAACCAAAATTTAAAAAATGTTCCCAATACACACACACACACAGACACACTTTACTAATATAAGGCTTTGAAAAGTGGCATCCTATTTTTAATGTCTGAACTAATGATGTTTCCAGTGATGTGTAGAAGTAAAACATAGTATTATGTTTATAAAACACAATCTTGTGAAAACCACAAAAATGAGTATTTGCTCTTAAGAAAGGAAAAATTTTATTTCTTGGCATCATCAAGGAAAAATGTGAAGGATTTGTTATGAAAGGAACAAAAATGTACAAATCCTACCACCTCATCCCCTAAATCTGTACAAACATGTGCAAAAGTTTCCTTCATCTATTAGTAGATCCCGAGAGCAGCCACTAGTCCACACAGACCTGAGGGCATTCACATGTCAGAATATTCCATAAAGATCTGGGAATACATATTTTTGGCAGAAAGCATTTAATGTGCAGGTAAGGACTCCCCATAAAATAATTCAGGGTGATGCATTCAGTCAGGACCCCCTCGTAATGACAAAATATTAGCATCATACATTCTTGGCAGCATTCAAACCACACATGACATTATGAACTCTTAAAACAACTGGAGTCTTTTTTTTGTTGCAAAATAGATGACAAATATTCTATAAAGGGAGAAGTAAACAGAGAAGTTCCAAAACTGCTCCATACCACTCTACCTTAAAATATATTTTCATAGTAAAAATTCTAAAACCAATATAAAAATCTGCTGCTGGCCACTCCACTTATCTTTCCTTCTTAAGGTACCAGTGTAATGTAAAGAAAAAGAGAAATTAGGTCCAGACCTGAGTTCAAATTTTGACTCTTCTAGTTATTCGTTTTGTTACCTTAGGCAAGTCATGATGTCTCTGAACCTCAACATCTTTGTTACTAAAACAGGTATATCTCAATGTCAGCCCTAGTATTGGAAGAGGTAATACATTTAAGTGCCTACCACAATGCTATGTAAGTAGTAGGTACCGATAAGTGTTAGCTCCCTCCCAGTCCATTTTCCCAAAAAGACATTGCAAAATATTTCTGTTTGGCATGAACCAAAACAAGTGGCTAAGGAGTAAAAGGGCAAGAGAATCTAACCCTAATATTATCCAGACAATCTTTCCATTAATTATAGAGTTAATATTTAATAAACACTGGGCTTATTGGTAATATTCAGGTAATGCATTAGTACCTGAATTGATCCTTTTCCTTACAAGTAGGCGTTTTGTCTTTGATTTAGCAAAAGATGTCATTAATCCTTTTATTCAGATCATAACATAGTACAATCTTTTGGGAAGATCGAACTCTTCCTAAGCCAAGGTAAACATTATAGTTTTAATTTTTACTCTTGGGTCTGAGAAAAATAGTGACATAAAAAGAGAAAGAGTGAAAAGTTAAAGAATCTGTTTCTCAAAGCTTATGGATATAATTTTTCCTGTCTCTTGAACCTCCCATATTAGTGCCAGCCCCTATAAACTCTAAGGGTGATCGAGCTTTCTGAAATTGAAGAGGGAGTGGGCAACACAGAAACAGCTTTTAGAAGGCTTTAGAGAAAGGCTTTTAACATGCCCAGCTCCTATGACACCAGGACCAGGGCTAGTAATGTGAATTGATTCGTCTGCCAGTTCAAGGCTATACCTGTTCTGGTCCCCTCTAATCCGTCTGGCCTAGTGGGCTTGGGTAAATGGGCTGGGGTGGCGCTACAACTGTAATAATGGGAATACAAGTGTGGGTGTGGTTGATATATGTGAATAATACCTTATTCAGGGGGTTCTGGAACCTAGAGTCCCTGTACGTAAAGTTCTAAGTATATTTCGTGCCTTTTTCGTCAAGAGGCTGCTCAACTATCACTTCCTCCTGGAGGTCTTCTCTAGCCATTCTATTCAGCCAAAGAGGTCTCGTCCGCAAAATCTTTCTCATCACTTTGTGTGTTTCCTGCAGAGCCTTAATATAAGCTGTCATTACCTTGTTTGTTTGCTTAAATCCCACTAGAAGGCAAGGTATCCAAATGCCTTGAACCTGGTGGGCCTTGATAGATACTTCTATAATAAATGACAGGTATGTTTCTATTTCGTTTTTAACTGACTCTATACTCCTCCCTCTGCCCTCCCTCCCAAGTAGTTTTCTCCTGAAATAATTTTAGAATCACACGTTTTCATTTTGGAAATAAGGCTTTTGGCATTTCAACCACACCCACCCTCGTATAGTTCTACAGTCAGAGCACCACCCCACCCCACTTACCCGGTTTAGAGGCGACCAGAACAGGTGCAGCCTTGAACTGGCACACGTAACAGTTCATATTACTGGCCCTGGTCCTGGGGTCGGAGGGGCAGGGCAGGAATCGTGGATCCAGAGGAGTCACCCCCATAGGCAGGCCCGGGCCTCCGCCCTACCAGCGGCCCAGGCCCCGCCCTACTGGCAGTCGCACCCCGCCACCCTCCCTTCCGCGCAGCCCCAACGGCTCGCAACGGCGGAGCAGGGAAGCAGGAGCATAGCAGCTTGGGCAATCTTACCCACCCGCCCGGCGCGCAGCTCGCTGCGGGACAGCCCTGGGTACTTTGCCCCGCGGGGCTAAAGCCAGGCCTGCGACTTGCACTGCTTTCGGGCCGCCGCGGCCACAACTGCTTCCGGGTGAGCGGGTCGTTGACCCCTTGGCCACGCCCCCTCCTTCGCCGCCTCTGCCTGCCGCTCCGGCCGCGGCTCCTCCCGAGGGCCGGTTCCCGCTGTCTCTGCCGCGGCACCAGGGGCACACCGGCGTAACTGACGAGCTGGCCGCTGGCACTGGCAGCTGCCGCGTACGTTGGGAACCCGGGACCGAGTCGTCCAGCCGCGCCCCTAGCCCCTGGCCCTGGCGGGCGCCCGGCTGGCGAGCCGCGCTCCGGCCCTTCCCGGGCGGCGACGCAGCCACAGCCCGCGCCCAGACACAGGTAAGGGCCGCTCCTCCCGCTGTCTCGGTGGGAGCGGGGAGCTGGGGGCCCCCTTCCCGGTCTCCGCAGCCCGGTGAGATCCGTGCTGCCCCTGACTCTTGCTGTGGGCCTGGATTCCCCGGGGACTGGCTGGCTCCCAGCGGGCTACCGGGCCAGGGTCTCCCCCTGCCTGTGCGTTCTCGGGTATCACTCTTGATTTCTAACGCTCATTCTCTCTCCGCGCGGGGGCAAAGTGTTACTCCCATTGTAGGAAAAATTAAATTGTGCAGCTGTCCCTCTGTTTAGGGTGCCCGAGGCTCCTTCTGTTGCCTCCTAGACGCCACACTCGGGTTCTGTCCCGGGACGAGCACCCCAGAGAACGGTGTCAGGCCAGTGGAGGGCGTAGCATTTTTATGAGATTTTTACTTCTTCCTTCTTGACCCGAACTGAAGCGCGGGTTTAACGGGCGCTTGTTAGGAGGGTCGGGGTTAATACTTGACTAGTATGGGGTACTACTTATACACAGATTAAGTTCTATAGCTACAGTCAGGCCTGGCATCCTTATGCTGTGGATGTCCAGCAGGAAGCAGGAGGAATCAAGGGAACCCATTTCTTTTTCTTTCTTAGGAGGAGAAAAGTTCAAGTGTTTGTTTTACTTTTTCTACCGTGGGAGATACAAATATCAGGCTCCTGATTCATGGCCAGGGACATATTGTATTCTAAACTTTAAATATTCGTAGTTCGTTTTGAGTTTCCATTTAATGATTCAGCATTTCTGCGGTAAACAGAAAAACTGTAGAGTAGGTTAATTGACTAAAAAAGGTATATTAGGATAACAGTGGCTATTAGTTTTTTTGTGTTATCCGGATGGGAAAAGAAAGTGGATGCAGAATTGGAACAGGAGAGATGGAGAGCAGGGTATGGATGGATAAGTTCTTAATCAGTGTTTAACAAATTTTTTCAAGATTATACTTTTATTTTGGGGATGAATCTGCATGGAAAGGTGCAATTGTTGGAGAGTGCATTGTTGCAGGTAGAGTTATTTGGCAGGGACTCCACGTTTCCTGTGTTTTAAAAGTCTTGCAGAGTTAACCCTGTATAACCAACGTCATGCTCTGTTTAGCAGATATAGAGATGATGACCTAGTATTATAATACACTCATGTAGAGTAAGAATTTCGGAAAGTATGATTCATTTGGAAGTTAGGTCACTCACTTTGTGAATCATTGATATGAATCTTAAAATTGAAATAAAGAAAAGCTAAGTTTGTTTCTGCCTGTCTATTGAGATGTCTTTGCTAATATTATAGGAAGTGTTGTATGACGTTTTGTTAGGTTTGTTGCTGGACATTTATTGTCATGAAGTATGGTAAGGAAATAAAAGTCTAAGTATTGCGGAATGCTTGGATTTAGAGCAGTTTGTTCCTAAGTGATGTGATTTTACTCCCCCCTCCCTTTTTTTGGGCAGATGTGGGAAGATAAATGAAGGGGTCTAGAAGTAAAATAAACGTCAGTGGAAAGGACAGCTACCATCACTAAGGTACGAAAAAGTTGACTGAATGAATTTGCACTGTACAAAATAGTCTTTTGAGTGGCAAGCATCACCCGTGTTTGTGATTCCACCCTAAAAATGGAGAATGAGACTGTATTGAATTCTTCTTTAAGTTCTATTATAGAAGAATGTGTGTATTGAAGTTGTGATTTATTATTGGAATGGATTCATTTTAAACTAGAAATAACTTCTTATTGCTGAAATGTAATTTGATCATTTTTGGCTTTCAAATGTTAAAGAAATGACATTGAAATCACTGAGTTCTTGATACTCTTAGCCTTGTTTTTCTTTTCCTTCTTTTGGAATTCAGCTTATTTTACCTTAATTTTCATTTATAAAGTATTCTAGTTAGTTATAAAGTAATGGCAGGCTTATCTTATTGTTCCAGCTTACCAAATTCTTTTAATTCTTTGACTAAATTTTGGCATTTTTTTAAACTTCAGATATCCATTTTTATATTCAGACTATTTCCTAATGTTGCTTTTGATTATTGTCCAGCTAATAGTGACTTAAGAGTTTCAGTTCACTGTGAACAGAGATTCCCTTTTGGAAAATCCCTTGTGGAAACCACCATAACTGACAGTCTTGATAGGTAAATATGCAAGGGAAACCTTTTCAGGTCAGGATTTAAGCATTTCTATAATGAAAGAAAAAAGTGATATGGAGAACATATTAATATTTGGCAAAGTATCTCTCTCTTTCTCTCTCAAAACAAAAACAAATCCTTACCAGAAATGAATTTAGCAAGAGAGAGAGTGATTTCTTGCAAAGCTCTTTGTGAATTGTTTACTCTGCTCCTAGTGTGAGAAGGAACAGAATTGATGATGTATGGAAAAAATAATTCTTGCAACATGCTGAGAATATTGATGAGGATCATTTAAGAGGAAATAAAATTCTGTCCTTACCTTAAGAGCACTATCCATCGCACCTGCAAAATAGAGGCCATTGCATTGCCTTTTTCTTTTAGGTAGTTGCTTTCTTTGTGGAGAATATGAGTGAAGAGGTAGTTCCTTAACCGGAAAAATATACTGCAATAAAATATATATATATTGCAAATGAATTTTATAAGGTAATTAAAAACATTTGAATGTCAGGTGGTTAATTTTATTTGTGATGGTAAGAGTAGAAATATTGTGGTTTGAAGACTGGTGGTGTCATATGCAAACCATTTATATTTGGGAGTAGTTAAATGGCTACATCTTATAGTAGGTTGATTCAGAATTTTATGACCAATATCAATTAAAAACATTGTATATAGTTTAAATTCTTGCCCTGCTGGAGTCTGCCACTGTGTTACTAGTCACACGAGAAATTAATAGCCCACCTCTTCTCTTCTTTTATCTTCTACATCCTAGTCTATTCATTATAAAATAAACCTCTGTGGAGTTTGACATCCAAAAATCCTTTTGCAAACAAACCAGGGTGCTATTGATGAATTAATTTCTCAAGGCACACAGTGGGTACAGATTGTCTTTGTTCTGCAAAGTGTGAACAGAACAAGGGAGATTTAAAAAAAATTTTTTTATCATCTCCCCCACTCTGAAAAGAGGTTTACATTTTAATTTTGATGTATCACTCCTGTAATACAGGAGGCCAGGAGGAAGTTCAGGATTCTTTGCTTTTTTGAAATGAGAGAAATTAAAGAAAAAAATAAGCGCTGAGAGGCTAAAGTATGATAAAGTTGAAACTCGTGAGTGGCAGTTTCCCTGGCTGGTGCCCAGGGTCTATTTTGAGACCTTGTCAAAGCTTGCCTGACAGAACCTACCACATAACTGTAATCTAGTCTGGCCCTGCTGCAAGTCAGGAAGACCTGGGGTTTAGGAAAAGTGTCAACCACAGAAGGGGGAGTTATAAAGGACATTTGCCTTCAGAAGATTAAGACTAAGTTTTGGGGTGAAAATCTACTTAGCCTATATATCCTAGGCTCCAAGCTTTTTTTTTTTTTTATTTCAGCATATAAAGGGGGTACAGATGTTTAGGTTATGTATGTTGACCTTGCCCCCTGAGGCTCCAAGCTTTTGTCATCATCTCTCCTTCTCTTCTCCCTCCCCTCTTCCTTCCCTCCTCCTGCCCCTTCTCCTCCTCCTTCATGATTAAGGAAATCTAAGGAGGGAAAATGTGCGCAAAAGAGCATAGGATTATACCAGCATTGATGTTATGTTCTTGTATGAGAGTGTTTGCCAAGAATTGGCCAAATGTTTTACAACAGGGAAAAAACATTACCATTACTGGCATAGGGAGGCCCCTAGTTGAAATGGCCGTCCAATTCAGAGACTTTCATACTTGTCACTGGGATCAAAAGGACTCTTGAAATGGTGGACTATTTTAGAGGATTATTTTGAGTTCAAACAGATAGATTAGTTTCTTTGCAAATTCTCGTTCTGTTTTTCCCATAGAACTGTATAGTGTCATGAAGTTACGTCTTTAAACTCTTGGTTATTACCAGATGCTATCTCCCAGTGTAGTTGTCTCCCAGTACTATGCATGTCTTGGGAAAACCTTGATGTTTTCTGTACACCGTGGAGGAAACGCTTGAGTTTAAAGTTCTTTAACTGATGTCACTTCTTAGGGTAGAAAGCTGTTAAATAACTTAGTGCTCCACCCTTTGACCAAAGTTCATGTCACTGTATTTAACTGCAATTTTGTATTACAGTCAAGGTTCTTTGAAGAATTCTGCATACAGACTTAATTTATAGATGCAGGCTTGCGGTTGGTTTCTTTTTCTTTTGCTTTAGTTTAGGTTGTGACTCCAGGAAATTTAGTTTTTCCTTACCCTCAGAAATCGGGATTGTTAGCATTTTCTGATGATGGTGGTGATGATGATGATAATGATAATGATGATGTATTTAGGATTCATCGTGAGGAGAAAAAATAAACTGTAGTGCTTTTCTTTCTTCTTTACTGGTTTATTCCTATTATCCTATCCCTTTCATGTCTCAGCTTCCCACTCCTCTTAAAAAACAATATAAAACAAAACAAACAAACAAAAACCAGAAAGAAAAGCAAGGTGGAAGGACGGAACAGAGCAGAGGAAGAGAGAGCAGTAAAGAGGTTGGGAAAAGACTTGGAGTGCCTATCAGGGTGCTTTTATTTTCTCAGAGGCAGAGTATTAAAATCCCTCTTAAAGAATCATAGTTCAACTTTTTTCATTGTTTTCAGTATGAACTCAGTATATCTTAGTGTTCCTTCATTAGGAACATAAAATTTTTAACTAGTTTTGATATTGCTTTAGGAAACAAATTTATTTTAAGTTACTTGTTCTGAGCATTTTGTTACTCTTTCTACATTCCCAGTTTCCTAAGTAGAGATATTTTAACAGCTAGAAACAATCTTTTGGCTTTCTGTTTTCCTTATGCAGAGGATTAGGATGTTAAAATATTTATTTGCCTGTTAAATGGTTTAGATCAGTTAGGTATAACAACAAACTGAATACGTTTTGTTGCTCTTTTTAAAAAATTAAGTGTTCCAGTTAAGTGACCCAAGGATCATAAGACTAAAGACAGAAACAAATTCAGCTTTAGATTAGATGATTTTCCCTCATCGTGAATAATGCTGTACCTAGGTGGACAGTCAAGCAAACGAGAGGACACTGTCCTCCTTGTCTTGCCAAATGCATCTTGTGCAATCAATCCAACAGTTTTTTGTTTTTTAAAAAAATTGTGATAAAATAGAGATAACATAAAATTTATCATGTTGACCTTTTTATTTCAATTTTTTTATTGTGGTAAAATGTAGTCATACATTGCTTAATGACAGGGATATGTTCTGAGAAATGTGTGATTAGGTGGTTTCATTGTGCGAACATCATAGAGTGTGCTTACACAAACCTAGATGATATAGCTTACTACACACTAGGCTATATGGTATAGCCTATTGCTTCTAGGCTACAAACCTATACAGCATGTTACTGGACTCAATATTGTAGACAATTATAACACTATGGTTAATATTTGTATATCTAAACATGTCTAAACATAGAAAAGGTATGATAAAAATATAGTATAAAAGATAAAAAGTGGGCTAGGTGCAGTAGTGTGTGTCTGTAGTCCCAGGTACTCAGCAGGCTGAGGCAGGAGGATTGCTTGAGACCAGAAGTCCAGGAGTTGTAGGCAGTAGTGCACAATGATTGCACCTGTGATTAGCCACTTTACTCCAGCCTGGGCAACATAGCAAGACCCCATCTTAAAAAAAAGATGAAAAATGGCACACCTGTATAGGGCAGCTCTATTATAATGTTGCGGGACCACTGACATATATGCAGTCCATTGTTGACTGAAATGTTATGCAGTGCATGACTGTAAAATTGGCATGAAATTTACCATTTAAACCATTTTTAAGTGTGCAATTCATGGCATTAAGTACATTCACATTGTGTGTAGCCATCCCCTCTATCTCCAGAACATTTTCTTCATCCCAAACAGAAACATTGTCCATTAAACAATAACTCCTCATTGCCCATAACCCTTGGTAACCACTATTCTACTTTTCATCTCTGTGAGTTTGACTGTGATAGGTGCCTCATGTAAGTGGAATCATAATATTTGTCTTTTGTGTCTGGCTTATTTCACTTAGCATAGTATCTTCAAGGTTGATTCATGTTGTAGCATGTATAAGAATTTCATTCCTTTTTTTTTTTTTTTTTTGTTGCCTGGGCTAGAGTGCCGTGGCGTCATCCTATCTCACAGCAACCTCAAACTCCTGGGCTCAAGCGATCCTCCTGCCTCAGCCTCCCGAGTAGCTGGGACTACAGGCATGCGCCACCATGCCCGGCTAATATTTTCTATATATTTTTAGTTGTCCAATTAATTTCTTTCTATTTTTAGTAGAGATGGGGTCTTGCTCTTGCTCAGGTTGGTTTCGAACTCCTGAGCTCAAACAATCCGCCCGCCTCGGCCTCCCAGAGAGCTAGGATTACAGGCGTGAGCCACCGCGCCCGGCCAATTTCATTCCTTTTTAAGGCTGAATAATATTCCATTGTACGTATGTAC